GGCCAAATTAGGCTCATACATGTGTTTCAAATGGTCCTGTATGTAATTCGTACCATACGTCATGACTGAAAAACATACAATGCACTTTACATCCTATGTTACCAAAGATTATATCATGTTGGTCTAATTGGTATGAAGTCAGTTACCGGTTTAATTTACCGTATGCCAGACATGTTTATAATTGCATTCCAATTTACACGCAAGGCTGATGTTCGTAAAATTGTTTAGAAATACGAAGAGGAACTCCTTTATGTTTTAGTAGTTGGGCCTGACCTCCATCCATCTGTAGCCTAAAAGTTTAGGCCTATTCACTTGGGGTACAACATATAGAATTAATTTTATTAAAATTCCGTTCATCGTTATGGTGGATCGTTTAAGAATCACTTGGGTGTACAGGGCTCATCTAGCTTCTACTTCGGTGATTGATAAGGTTCTAACTTTAACGGGGAATGAATAACAAAGTCAAAGTTACTTACTGTATAAATTGAAACTGTTGTCTTCGTGGAATTTCTAAGAGTTATCACTGTAGTTTTCTTTGTTTGCTGAAGTCTTGATACTTTTACCATGGGCCTGCAATAACAATATTTAATCAAAATATTTTTAGCACTCAACCAAGAAAATCAATTCGCCACTTACACGACCGACGGCAAGATCAACAAAACTCCAAAAATCGGTTTGAAATGACCAGAGAAGTTAAGAAATACTGCGAAATTGAAGCAAATTATTTGTGAAACTATAGATTATTATATTATATTTCATTGTAACATTTGGTAACAATTTACTGTTAAAAATTAAACAAAATATGGGTATATGAACCGAAATTATATATATATACATATATAGACATATATATATATATAGATTATTTATATATTTCATTGTAACATTTGGTAACAGTTTAACATATATAGATTATTATTTATATATTTCATTGTAACATTTGGTAACAATTTAATGTCAAAAATTAAACAAAATATGGGTATATGAACCGAAATGTTATATAAATATATACATTATATATTAAAAATGATTTATAGTAAAATTTTGCTTAAGATGCCCTGACCAAAATTTGTTGTATTGTACTTTTTGTAAATGTGCAATAAATAGATGAAATTAAATGCAAATCTACGGCAAACTGCCAAAAAATTCATCATTTTTACTATTGGGCTGTTTTAACAAACGAACAGTACAGTACACACGTCTCCAAGCAATCTGCGGTGTGTGTTTGATGTTATTATTTCTCTACATGCCTCCATAGATACGTGCTGTTCTCAAAATAGGTTCAATTATACAAAATAAACTGAATTACGTTACATTATAAGGGTTATTGTGCTTATGGCTGACCACTAAATAAATCTTTACAGACCTGCAGCAGGGTATCAGACTTGAAACGTGCTATTTCTGTAAATTACATCTATCAGAAAGTTCTTTAGACCAATTGCTGGTGCACGTACAAACCATCGTTTATTCCGAGTCTTATCGATTTAATTGCTTTTGAGATTGGTAACTATCAAGACACAAGTGGTGAAATTTAAGTGTGTTTGAGTTGCTCATTCTATCAATGAAAATAAACGAACATCAAAATGGCTCTAGATTGAACTTTGGACTTTTTGTTTTGGACCCCCCTTGGTTTAGCCTAGAACCAATGTATCCAGCTCCTAGGTAGAGATCAAAGCTTCCCAACCTGGGTTTGTTTTTTTTTTATGGTAGGCAATGATTGATATTGACATGATGTCGTTGTAAATACCAGGAATAGTAAATTTTAGTCCTTAAAGTAACTTTTCACGAGTGCGTACAGTGCATGTAAATGAACGTGTAGATGTAAATGAGGTAACGCGCACTGTATCATAGCCAATCGCTAGTTCTGTAGATCTAGATTTGTCTTTTTCTTTCTTTTATTGTAGGGGTATAGAAGGAAGGTTGTAGATCCGAAAATAATTTCGACGTCAAGTTAGACCACAACTACTTGGATTACGAAAATTGATTTACAATCTCGAATATCCTTGTCTACAAAACAAAAAAAAGACTTGTGGAAAAACATTTTGACTACACTTTTTTTTTTTTAATAAGAAAACATTTTATAACAACACTGAGGCTGAAACTGCTTATAAAATAACAACAGAATAAGAACAAACTGAGGCGGCTGAGGTGAAATGTAAAATGAAAAAAAAATAATGTACAATAATAATTTTTTTTTCTTGAAAAGTGTGTAAAATAAGAACATTTTAAAGCCTGAAACAATGAGCCTGGGCATCCTGGTTCTTTAGGGAAAAATGAATAGGCCCTTGAATCAAACTGTGAAAACAACTGCTAGTCAGAGATGAATCCAACAGTACACGTGGAATGGATCCTTAACCTACATAATATACTGTCAAGAAATTTTATATCCGTAATAATGGGAATTGATTTATTACTATGAATGTCAGTAGGTGTATCTCAAAACGTTAGTGCTTCTGCATCCATTAGAATGCCGATAGCCTGGTCAAGCTTGGTTAGTTATTTCATAAATAATTAGTAATATTGAGGGCTTAAGCTTTTTTCTAGTCAAGATTGACAGCAAAATAAATGCTTAATAGATCCTACATTTTAGGATATTAAGGAATGTGATCTCAGTCGAAACGGCATACTTGTATAGGCCTGTAGATAGCTTTACGGTTAGGGTTAGTCAAATTCTTCAGATTAGCGTGAATTAAGCCACAATAGAAATAGATTTGATGGGATTTATTAACTGTCGTCCAGCGATCTCTCCTAACCCCGTGATTTAGGGGAAAAAGTCAGAGAAGTGGCTTAAAAACAAAAACACAAGGACACCTGCTCCACTTCGTAGTTTCTGGGGTAGTTGGCACTATGAACCCCTTAGCAGATTGGGAATTGACCTCGAATTCGCAGTGAAATCAGTAGATCAAAGTTTAATGCAGGTTATATTTATCTCCCAATTTACGACCTTTTTTAATCATAATGGCGATGTCCCAAACAGCGCCCCGTACAATTCAACCGGCGATCTTTTGAGGATACCCTCTAGACCACGGAAACCTGTTGGATGGATATTATCAACAGACTCACTTCAGACTCCAAGTACTCCACAGCCTATGATAACCCATCACACGGTGGATTTGTTGAATACCAACTCCCCCACGAGTCCAAAAACGACACTGTAACTCTTGAAACTTGCATCGGTAATCATAGTACCAGCCTGTTAGTGGCGATGATTTCGCTGTTGGTCTGTTGAAATTAAATAGATAAATAAATAAATAAATAGTAAACATATACAAGGCAGATTAAGTTGCTGCGTAACGCTGGATATATTTTTCATTATTATATACATATAAATAAATAAATAAATATATATATATATATATATATGTATATATATATATGGATATATATATATTAATTATATATAATTATATAGGCCTATATATTATTATATATATAATTACGGTATATATAAATATAATATATATATAATATAATATATATGGA